CTGAGCCTAGAAGGAAGAAATGATACTTGATGGAAAAATCAGAGCTGAGTTCTTTCTTTTCAGTCTGGGCATTTTCTATACATGTGACTGAAGTTTGATGATGACAAAACAGAGAAGATTAGGATTAACTCGTCATCATCATCACCATCATCGTCCTCCCCTTTACTCACACTGAGTCAGGTCTTACAGTTCCTTATGGCAGTATCTTAATTAACATAGCACCAACTTTCATCTTGCTGCCCACCAGGAGCAAAAAGTAAAACTTGAAATTACCACCATGTCAGTTCATTCTCAAAATTCTTCATATTGCCTCAAAGTTATATCATAAATCCTGAAACTGGCATAAACTCAGTTGCTGAAAACCAAGTACATAACCAACTCTAAATCTTAGCATAAGAAAACCGGGTCCCTTTGGAAAAACATGTCAAATGGTTGTTTCTTCTACTCCTGCCCTAAGTTATTTCTTCTTAATTTTGTTGTAGGAAAACAATTAAATCAACCCAGAAAAAAGTTTAATGACATAAGGCATCATGCCAAATTGCATGATTTCACATTCCCTACCCCTCAGTTATCTTTTGAGTAAATTAAGAAATGAATAAACTATCAACTCTCATTTATTTGGGTGTGAATTACTTGGTCATCTAAGTTTTGCCTCACTATAAACCAAGTCTCCCACAAAGTTGGGTCATGTTGGAATTGCCTCCGTTTGTTTAAAGAATAATCATCATTTCCTGAATTTTCATGAATGAAGGTAAGAAATAGTAGCCATAACAGTGTCTGCAAGATACGTGGTTTATCTCAATGTCAGTTTCTGAGAATATGCTTTATATCCAAATATCATAGCTTTTTAGGTGACGGATGTCTTTGAGACTCACATCCCAGAAAACACAGTTTTGTACATTTTCACAATTCTGTCTGGAATTTCAAGTGTTTCCTTACTTCCTTTAATCAGTCTTACATACTTAAGGTGTCCTTAAACCCACGTTTGAGGTCTATTGTTAAGGACAATGCAAATTTGACTGTTGGTTGCTTTCTTTGTTCAGAATAATAAAGTGGGAAGTGTTAGTGATAAGGCAAGGAATAGCTCTGCTTCCATTGACAAGTTACTCCTTTTAGGGAACTCAGTTGCATAATCATCTCTTTGTAATAACTGTATAGGTTGTTAAAAAATTCTTTAGTAATAGGGAATATGTGTCTGTAGATAGAATTTCTAACCCATTTAATAACGGGAATAATGATCCAGCAAGTTCAGATCAGAAACAGTAAGGGATTTTCTGTTTCTGTGTCTCTATGTTCTCTTAGTTCCAGTCTGTCATTTTACTTGCATGGTATCAGTGATCTTTGAATTTCAATAAGCTTTCTTCTGGGACTAATGATATAAACTTAAACTAAATTAAAACAAGAAAGATATTAAGCACAAGATGAAAAATACTTCTTACAAAAAGGAGAACTAGGGCATCCAGAACCTGAAAAAAATTTACAAATATACGAATGAATGTTTTCTTAGAAATGGTGATCTTAATTTACTTAAGTGGTACCTGTCAAAGTTAATGACCATTCTAGGATAAACAAAACTTACTTGGCGTTTAGGGTCAGCTCTCAGTTAACATCTGTTCTTGTTATAAAATGCTAAATAGTAATGAAATAAGGAAGAAGTATTTAGGTATTTAAGTCAACAGGGTTCAAATGCGTACACTATGAAGAAAGTAATCAACACAAAATGGTTGACTGAAACAATCAGGGGTTTAGTTATAGAAACAGAGTAGGTTCAGGTGTCTTAGGTCATTGTGTCTCGGATTTATTTCATATACTTGATCTTAAATCAGCTGGCTGCATGAGACACAAAATCCTTCTCTGCCCACAGAAGACCTAAGGAACAGATTACAAATTAAATAATCAAAGATTTGAGCACCAGTATAAAGGGTAGGACGCTCATAGGCAGCAAGTAGAGGTTACATTAAAAACCCAGGTGGACTTAGGAATCCATAACATGTCACTTGCGGTCTGAGTAGCAAATGATGAAAAACAGGCAATACCAAACATCACACATATCCAAGTCCAGATGTCCATTATCTCCCTCAGCTTGGCTAACAAATTCACACTTTCAACTGTGTTTTTACAATTAGAATATTCTTATCCCCCACAGCCCCCACAGAAGAAAGAGAAGGATGAAACCTAAGCACTAGGGAAAATACATTTTTTCTCTCTTTATTGTGAATTCTAACATAACTTTTGTTAAACATAGAGCACGTGAACACATGACAGTTTCCTTCATTTGCTCTCACATGTAGCTGATAGAGGAATACTCGGGAGGAATGTTTCTAAAGCCATAGAGAACTTCTTCTTCCATTGATTTTCTAGAAATATGACAAAGCATTAGAGGAAAAAGAAAAGCGTTTTTTAAGTTGTGAGAATATCAAATATTACCCATCAACCCCTGAATCATGCTATTCAAAGTGCTTAAATCTACACTAAAAATAGAACAAAAAATGTACTCCCAATGCAGCTAAATTAACACCTATGGATGCCTAAAATATGACTGTGGTCTGAATACTTCCTCTACATTTATTCCACACTTCCATCGTGCACTTAAAAAAATTAAAAAAAAAAAAACAACAACAAAGAAAGAAAGAAACCAGGCCATTGCCATGTTTACAGTTTTCTGAGCACTGGGGGAATCTGGAATCCAGTCCAGTGACGTCACTGCCACCAGTCCCTGACAGGTGTCCATAGTATAAACAATGGCCTTCTTGAATTCTGAAAATAACCCAATGTGCAAAGCTGACCTTAAAGTTTATGTGTCCTTGCAGCTTCAGTTCTGGTTTGTGAAAATGTAACAGAGGTCCAAGGGGAGCACGGGAATAAAAAGAACAGATTGTGGACAAGGACCCAGGCAAGTTGTCAGGGAAATAAGCATTTTTTTTTTTTTAGCAAATAAAAATCAATGCACATCCTAAAGCTCCTTTACCTTGTCACACAAACATGAGATATTCGCAGCTTTACAAAATTCTTATAATCATCTCTCATACATTTGCAATTCAGTTTTACCCTCACCAATGAGCTCTACTGAAGTTTACATTTTTGTGTGTGTGGCCAACTCATACCTTAGTATTGTGACCAAAACTATAGAATTGTTTTCTCATTATATGGTGGTAGGAATAAACCAAACATACAATAGTCACTACACAAGCCCACGGACGATGGCTGGAATGGAAGTTCCTACACTGAATCACTAAAGTAATGCATAAGTTCTATTATCAGTGTTTTCATCACATCGATTTTTTTTTAAAAAACTAAAAGCTACTTAGGTAATATTTCCCTTTAGCAATTTTGCCCTCTGCAAGTTCCTTTAGGATTGATTTTGTATCATTTTCAACATGAATATGTATTAGCTACTTATGTCATTGATTTCAAACATAAAGCTAAATGGCGGGAGATGTATTTCCTGGGAGCATCAGCTTCCTGATTCTGACAGAATTATACAGTTAAAATAAAACTAATTCTTTACACAGGAAAATTATTTTAAATACTTTCTCATCTAATTTAAAACTATTTTGTGTAAATAATGTTTATTTTGAAAATACTGATTTCTGTTGGTAATCATATGTTTGACCTCCTGAGTTCTTATATAAACACTTTGAGATTAATAAGTGTTGCTTATGTTCACAAACTGAAACCAAACACTTGATTCTGATTATAGCACTGAAAATTAAATACAGTGAAGTAACATTTAAATACAAGGGGACCCCATAGTAAGTTTCACAGATTTGCACTGACTCTTTAGAAAATAACATTTTCTATAATACAAGGTGACAAAACATATTTGATGACACGTCCTGTCCTTCCCTTTGGTTTGGAAGCCTTCAATGTAAATTTCATTTACAATGTAAATTTCATTTTGACTTGTGTTGATTCACCCTTTTGAGTTAACTTGCCTGGCATTTGCACATAATCTCATTTGCAGAAAATCATAGAGGGAAAAGAGGAAGTAGAATAGTAAACAAAAACAGCCACGAACACATTCATGCCTTTCCAGGAAGTGATCAAATATAGGGCTTGATTTTTTTGTTTTGTTTTGTTTTTGTTTGTTTTTTTGTTTTTTTTTGTTTTTGTTTCTTTTGTTTTGTTCTGTGTTTTTATATATATATATATATATATATTTATATAAGGGTACATCAACTCATTTAAAAAACGGAAACAGCACACTCTCCCCCATTTTCATGCCCTTGATCTTCTCTTCTTAGCACTCTGTAGTGGTCACTGTCAAGTGACTAGCACACTTTTGGGTCTGGAGTGTATTCTGACGAGCAGTGAATTAAATGTTAAGACAGTTAGACCCCACCCCCCTACCCCTTCTCAGAGTTTACACGTCATGCCGCCATTAGAAGGGTAGAGGTGGGGAATGAGGTGGGACAAGGAAGAGATTCAGGGCTCTGATTGGTGGGGCCCTCCTATGAGCAAGTGTTCTCATTATTTTTTTTCCCGAGTGGCAATGCTGGCATTCGTTGCACTGCTTTCTGAAGGCCCACATGGCCCTGCTGATCCTAGGTAGAACCCAAGAGAGGATCCGGTGCTCCTTGTCCCATCGGATAGATTTGTCCAAGCACCCCAAGGAAATGTTAAAAGCAAAACAAAAATCAAGGAAAGGAAATAAAAACCCTTTCTAAAACTAAACTAATGAAGCAAAAAAGGGTTTTCTATCTATACATAAGTCTCTTCTTTAAAAAAAGGTAAATTTACAAATTCCAATGACATATAAAACAAAGTCAAAAAATGTAATGGTAAGAGACATGGTAAAACAGGAAGACACTGATGCTACAAAGAAATTGCAAAAAACATATGTACAAGACCCTGTTTTTCCTCATGTTCTAGAGATTGTAATGCATGTTTTTGTTTGTTTGTTTGTTTTTTTAAACAGCAGCAGTCGAGGATTTAGTTCCAGGCACTGGACTGCAGACTCTACTCAAACTCCCAGGGACGGGGTGTCCCTTGCTTTTCTGTCACCAGATCACACTGGATATACTGGTCTCCCGTGGCAACAGCGGCAGGATGGCACTGTTTGTGTGGGCCTCGTCTGGATTCTGCTCCCTGCTCGATTTTGTCTGTGGCCGCTGCCCGTTGATCAGTGTCATAGGGATGTTACAATAGGTATGCTGATTGCCTATGGAGGTAAGAGGCAGGGTGCCAGTAGGAGGTACGTCATACTCGTAGCTTCGGTAGTAGTGTTTCTGACGCATTTGTGAATGGTAAGTGTTGTGAAAGGTGGATCGGAGATCTGGATGGGCAGTGGCTAGAGCTGTGGAGGTGGCGGCAGCCATGGAGATGGCTGAGACAGTCTGCAGCTCCCCAAAAGGCCCCTGCTCACTAACATCTAAAGCCTGCTCATGTGTAATGGGTTCTATCCTCTTAAAAGGCATTTCGTATTGTAAACGTTTCCAGAACTTAGAGTTCAACTTGTTGCATTTTGGTCCATGCCACTTAATAACGGTCAGGAGCTTGATGGTGTGCTTGAGGGCCTCCACCTCCTGGTAGTTCATGATTCCTCGTAGCTCACTGCACTCAATGAGTATCACTTTAATTTCTCCAGTCACAAGCATGTTTCGAAGTCTGGTCTCCAGCTCAAAGATGCTCCAGCCTCTTCTGACTACGTAATTTGGGGTCATGACAATAATCAGCCGCTTGCTCTGATCTACACACCTTGCCACATCTTCAATGTATGCTACAACAGAGAAAAGGGTTTATCAGAATAAGTAAATTGAACATTTGGTCCAGAAAGCCCCACTGGACTCTCTTTCACACATGAAAATGAGAATTGTTGGTTGTTAGGTAAACCCTTGAGAAGATGAAAATAGCCAATGATCACTTAGAAAAGAGGATGGGGCTTTTGCTTCTCTTAGTGATAGAAATATTTTCCCAGGTACAAATCTCTCATTTGGTTTTTTTTAAATGTCAAGGCTCATAACATGAGACACTTTATAGAATAGTGGAAGTAGCTTCCTCAGGGGTATCAAAACTTATTTTTCATTTGAACATATCATGCCATTTCTTTCTTGAGAAACTGACAGATGTAGAAGAAGCAAAAGTTAAAATTTTGTCTAAAAATGATGACTACACAGACAGATACAAGGATACTCACACTCTTAAATGAAACATTAACTTACTTCCAGTTGGGATTAAATCTCTATCTGGTATAAACAACTTATATCCATAATGCTTTTCAAGCATATCAGGCAGGATTTCAAGAGCAAAGCGTTCTTCTTCCCCAGTCTCTTGATTCCACTGGTCAGGATCCACTTTGGTATATGATAAGTATGCATCGTAATCTTTATTATCTGTCAAGAACATTACAGAGTAAAGCTGAAGTCACTACTCTACAAAGAAAGCAATAGGACATGAGAACAATCACCTTATTTCATAAGTATCTCCAAATGTCCCACTTCTCGGAGACCAGAGGAAGAAGTTTTTATTAATTTTCATTAATAATTCAATAATGCCAAGTATCGTGGAATGAATTTGGGGGTATAAAGGAGTTACATTTTGTTGTTATTAAGACAGTAGGAGAAAAATTAATGAAAACAGCAATGAAATGCTAACATTAAACATTTTTGATGCATAGATCATAGAGAATTTTGACAGCTTATAATAGCCACATATTTGGATAATATATTCATATTCTACATAATTGTACATTTCACCTAATCCTTCCTTTGATGATTTTACCCTGTTGAAAAAAAAGAAAGAAAATTGAAATTGGCTTGGCTGGCTTGAGGAATGGTTTTCAGGTTGTGTGCTGTGTGGTTTTAGGTTGTGCTGATTTTCTTTTGGGGAAAAGATAAAACAAAATTTGGAATAATTAATTTTTCTTTGGGAGCTGGTTCTTAGAGTTCAGTATTAAGACTATTAATATGCTGAATTATTATAGAAAAACATATTGTTTTCCTGATCTTCACTTATCTTACATGTAAATTACTGCCTAATTTTATTTCATGTTAATCAGTTTGACTGAAAGAATCAAAAAGTATAATACAAATGAATTAAACTTAGTTCCAAAATTTGATTTCTTTCTTCATTCTTCTCCATTTTTACATGACAACCCTTCAAATATTTGATGACTTCTATTGTGCATTATCTTTATCTTAGCATAAACATCCCAAAATTCTCTTTTGTTGTTTCTTAGAACAAGAAGTCATTGATCTTCTGCAGAATCTCATCTGTCAATTTCCTTTTCAGAGTGTGATATCAGGATTCATAATTCACTTCAATTCTAAATACTATCAGTAGGCCATGTCTGTCAATATCAATATGCTTAGGTCTCTTTTGTGCTTCCTTGATGATTGTCATTGATTTCTTTTGATTATTAGAATTGATAATTATTAGATCAAGTTGAGTTGGAAAACTCTTATATTTCAGAACAAAAGGATCTTGGCATTTGGTATAGAAAATTTAAAATATTTGGGGTATAAAATATCAAAGATAGAGGGGCATCCATGACTTGCTCTGGGTGGCTCTGGGACACTCCTGTTGACTTCAAAGACACTAAAACTCACTTCTGAAGGTACATATGTATGTTCATTTAGTAGTCTGATAATCCTGAACTACCTATAAGTCATTCTATACCTTATTATGGAAAATTCAGAGAACTGTTTACTTCACTTAAAGTTAACACAGGCATATAAGAAACTAGCAACTCTACTATAGGATCCCTGGGAAAATAAAAACCTTTAGCTATGGAAAATTTTTTTAAAGAAACTTTCAGGTAATAAAAAAAGTAATCATCCCAATCATGTCATATTTTGGTATTTGGCATTTTCTTTATTCTTTAAGCAGGATATAGTTGTACACAGTAATTCAATTTTCACAAAAATGATAATTATATTTATTATACCATGTCTATGCAGATATGCCAGTGGTCTATAGTGGTACCATTTTGTTGACATAAATACTTGAGTAATAAATAATAGAAAATAGCACATAATAAAGCTACAATACCAGTTAATATTCAATTAAAATGTCCATTTATTAGATAATCACATGCCATATCTATGAGATAAAGTCTTCCTTCACAATATGGGTCAGTAACTTCCAGTCTAGTAGAAGACATAGACAAGTCCACAATCTATTTCCAGAGGATAAATATGTTGCAAAGAATAGTGCAAGCGTCATGGGCCAATGGGAAGACTCTTTAAACCAGACTGACGATTGCAGAATGATTTCATGCATATACTATTCTTTTTCTGGGATTATTTCTCTTCTAACTTTTTACAAAGTACTATAAAGTACTGAAGTTTGCCAAAATCTGGGATGGGTAATGACTAGATCATCATTCTTCACCTTTTGTCTTGTATAGGCTCAAAAGCATTTGAAAACCAGATCAATATGAACACCAAAGAGAACAGAGCACTTATGACCACATGTAAACAACTGGTCCACCAATACTAGTAGGTTCCAGATGGATGTCACTTTTGCTTACATGACACTGTTTCTGGTTCTCCTGCCTCATCCATGGACATCTCTCTTCCAATTCACAAATGCTGTTATTTCTTAAGATGTTTTCGGTGGCCCGTTTCATTTGTCTCTCAGCCTATGTTCCCTTAAAAATCTCTTTTTCTCCCATTACATCAACAACCACGTCTATGTAAATGTCTCCCTAACTTAGATGTCCAATCTTGTCTTCTTTCTCATGAACCTGTAACCTGGACATTCAACATGTTCACAACCAAACAAACTTTCCATCTTTGTTCTTCATGTTTTATTTCACTTAAATTTAGTAACATAAGAATCTTACGTCTATAGTCTCTAAATGTCAGATGCATGTTTCATTTATCTCTTTTCATTACCAATAATCTCACAGCCATTCACTGGTAAAAATCCTTTGGATTGTTTCCATCCAGGGTGAGGTCCTACTCTCTCCTCAGCTGCTATAATTATATTTCATTGGGTCTTTCTTCTCTGTTTCCTTATTCTTCTGGCCCATTCCACATAGAATCAGAAAATTTATTTTTTTAAACCTCACAACTGATTACATTTATGGTAGCTTGAGAAATACTTATGGCTACTCATTGCCAAAAAGCCAGCAGCTATCTCTGCCTTTGGGTTCCTTTCAATTTGAGTCTGATATCTTTGAGTTGAAGGTGATCTCTTTTACCACATATTATATTATTGTGCTCACATCTAATCTTCTTTCTTTGACCACAAGATCCTTGATTCAGATATATGACTAGGGATTAGTAGATGCTCAAACATATCTGCTGATTAAATGAATGAATGTCCTCTCATTTGGGTATCATGTGACATATATCTATGGCTAATGGAGAGATTTTCTCAAGATTTGGGCCATTTCCTAGGAGAGATGGCTTTGGTGATACATACTCCAAGTTGCCTGGACTCCTCAAGTAATTACTAGGAGTGACAGGGTCAAAGTTTAGCAAAGTTTCTTTGGAATAATCTTGAACTGTATTTTCTCACTGTGACTCATTGAAGGCTCAGAGTCCTTGTAAGCTTCTCTGAGAAAGTGGTTTTCATACTTAAGCATGAATGGCAACAATTTGAAAGACTTGCTAAAATACAGACTGATAGGCTCCACCTCCGGAGTGGAGTTTAGATATTCTAAATTCAGAATATCTAGAATAGGTCCTTAGAATTGGAATTTATAGAAAACTCTCAAGTGATAACTGCTGCCAGCCCAGGGACAACACTTGGAGAAACTCTGCTTTACAACAGAGTATAGGTACTCCAGGCATAGGTATTGGAGCTTCCCAGGTAGCTCAAATGGTAAATAATCTACCTGTGATGCAGGAGACCTGGGTTCAGTCCCTGGGTTATGAAGATCCCCTGGAGATGGGAATGGCAACCCACTCCAGTATTTTTGCCTGGAGAATTCCATGGACAGAGGAGCCTGGTGGGCTACAGTCCATGGGGTCACAAAGTGTCGGACATGACTGAGTGACCAACACTTTCACTTTCATAGGTACTCCAAGGTCTCAAAGGTATCAAAGAATTGCAGTCAGCTGCTAGGTAACTGATCAAAAGTATCACAAAGCCTACACACTGCAGCCTCAGCTCCATGATAAGGGGACTTGATACTTACAAGCTGTGTGCTCTATTTTATCTAGAAATAAGATGAAAATCCATGAAAATCCACACTTTCATCAAAAAGGGGATAAATTCGTATCTAGACTAATATATTCAGTAACCATATTAAGATTTTTTATTTATTTATTTATTTTTTATCACAACCATAGTGTATCTTTTTTTTTTTTTTACATGTATTCCCCATCCCGGTCCCCCCTCCCACCTCCCTCTCCACCCAATCCCTCTGGGTCTTCCCAGTGCACCAGGCCCGACCATATTAAGATTAAATGAACCCTGGGAATAGGTACTGTGGTCTCAGCCAGTTTTCTATCTCTTTATGTCATCTGGATGAGTTTGCAACATTTAAGCTAATATCCCCCAGGTAAAAAGGAGATGTTCACATGGAGGTTATTCTGGTAAGAAATAGGCCTAAAAGGCCCCTTGCAAGCAGCTACAGCAGCATCCTTCCTCAAATCAATGGACACTTGATTGATATCTAATTTCTCTCTTTCCCCAGAGTCTATGTCAGTGCAGTACTGGGCTAGGCATTTATTTACCAACAGAAGCAAACTCTTGATTTGAAAATCATCAGACTGAAAATACCATGTCATATATCATGATAAATGCAGTAACGTTTCCTGAGTCAAAAACATATGGATTCTAAGGTTTCTTCTTTTTCTCAGTTACCTGCTGAATCGGAGTCATGGGAAATATCTCTTAGATATTTTTTATGTCTGTAAGAATGCATATTGACTAATCTTAATGTGTATAAGAAATTGAAAATGTGAGATTTTTTATAATCATAGAAAAAACAAAATTATGCTAAGATTTTTAAAGGATATGACTGTGATCTTTCAAATTCAACTTCAGTTTATAAATAGCTGAAAACGTCATAGAAGGATAGTACCACAATCTATATCTTATTCTGAACTTTATTCTCTAAATTTGATTTTCTGTAATTTAAACCCTCAAGTATAATTCTGTTGACTGCAGAGATGGAAAGCAGTTGACATACACACCTTTTGTAATAATATTTATAGGTTCTAATAAAGTCATTGGTTTACTCTTTCCATGATTTTCAAGAGATTCTCACTGTAATGTCCCACAAAAAAAGCAAAATAGGAATGAAGTCATCAAGATGGTCCAATAAGATATCATTTGCATATATCCTCTCTTCTGCAGCACAGAGCCAGTCCTGCCAACCCAAGGATCCATCCAGTGACCAGGTATTATCCAGAGGGTAACCTGGTGGGAGCCATAC